AAGACAACAAGAGAGAACAACGAGAGAGAGTGAGTGAGTGAGAGAGAGAGAGAGAGGTTGAACAGTAGGAATGAGAAAGAGAGCGAAATAGGACACCACCGTTTGGATGAAAGTGGATAGGAGATCTACGACGTGTACGGATAGCTGTAGGTTTCAACGGGGACTCCTTCCACCACTCGACGAATTATACGCGCTCACGCGGAGAGACAAAAGGGGTGGGGTGGGTGGCTGGTAGGGGGGGGGGTGGTTGAAGGAAATGGAAGAACAGACGGAAAGCTATTTATTGCGGGCGTCTCGTGGAAGTCCTCGTTCTCGCAAGAAACTATGAAGTTATAGACAATCGAGAACCGCGACAGAACGAGACTTACTGCGTGAAAGGATAGAGTAATAGTGAAGACATCGTCTAAGTGAGAGATAAAAAGGAAAAGAAAGAGATAGAGAGAGTGAGAGAGTAAGAGAAAAGAGGATAAGTAACTTTTCTATTTCTCTCTCTCTCTCTCTCTCTCTCTCTCTCTCTATTTCTCATCTTTGTATCTCTTTTCTATATCCTTCTCCCCTTATCCTAATCCTCCGGCGTTATTCTTCAACCTGCAAAATTATTTCCAACGAGTTATGCATACCGTGGAATAAACTTCTCCACCAATTCGAATCCAATCAGAGAATACTCTCTGTGTCTCTGAGAGAAATCTACGAGAGAGAGAGAGAGAGAGAGAGAGAGAGAGAGAGAGAGAGAGATACCTATTTGTTCGGATATCTACACTTCTATTTCACTCTTTTGATTTTTCTCTTTTATATTTTTTTATTTTTCTTCTGAGTCTTTTTATTTTTTCCTTCTTCTCTCTCTCACTCTTTATGTCTCTCTTACTTTCTCTTGTTCATTTTTTTTTGTCTTTCTGCACACGTGTAACAGAAATCCTACTTTCCGTCGGTCGGATATTATTCATATTCCGGCGACGCATGGGCTCATCACTCCGGACGTAAAGGCAATATAACTTTTTTCCTCTTACGGCTTGCACTCTCTCTCTCTCTTTCCCATTTCTATCTCGATCTACCTCCCATCTCCTCCCTACATTCCCTCCCCCTTCCCCCTTTTCCTGTTCCCTCTTCCATCTCTCTTTCTCTCTCTCTCTCTCTCTCTCTCTATCTCTATCTCTCTCTCTGCCCATATCTCTTCTGCCTTGTCTTTTTTTTCGTTCTTTTTTTTCCGTATCTTCTCTCGATCACAGTCTATAAAAAAAAGAACGTAGAGAAGGTGAAAAAAAAACAAAAAGTGGAAAAAGGGGGTGTAAAAGAAACAAAAAAGAATCGAAAGAAATCTTTATCGAACGAGTTTAAAAAGGTATTACTATGGAAGTTATCGATTGGAGGTAATTGAATGATAAGTGGAATATCCAAATTGTAATAATAATAATATTATTATTATTATAACGTACGATAACGAGTATTATTATCTTTCGATTGGAATATTCGTCATTTGATTTTATATAGAGATGTAACAGCAAGTAACCTAATAGAATCGTTAAAAGTACGAACGATTCTCTATTCTCATAATTAGAAAATTCGAAAGTCGTCGTGGGAATTTTGGTCACATATATGTAAAATATATATATATATATATATATATATATATATATATATACGATCGTACGTAATATACCTACGTGTAGAAATGAATCAAATCGCATATTAAATATATATAAATGTATATTTACATATACCTACAAACAAACTTGCAAACACTCGCACAAATATCTTTGCAAGGATATATATCTGTATACAAATGAATACTTTTATATTATATATCGATTCCACGATAAACGCCGTAATTAAAGCGGTGCCCGTAGTTTGTTCGGAATTTAATAACGACAGGACGCACCGCGGCGAAGCTTATATTTCATTGATTTTAACAATGAATATCGTTCGTTCAGCAGATCTATCGTATCTTTATGATCTTTTCAGAATATATATATATATACGAGAGAGTGCACGTATTTACGATTGGGAACCGGATGCAGGCCGTTTTAACAAATAAATTCTATCGGGAATAGAAGGAATTATACATAAATAATAAACGAAACTTCCCTTTTCTCTTATTCTCTTTCAACCAATGCAATACTGGATATATTCCCGTAAATAAATAAATAAATCATAATAATAACAATAATAATAATAATAATTAGATTCTCTTCTTTGGCACCGGTTATTGAATAAAAAAAGAAAAATATTATATAAAAGTAGAAATAACAGACGAACGATTTTTAATTATTCCTTGGAGCATTTTCTTGGTCTCTCGAATTCGAATGAACGAATTTTAATGGCAGCTGGTACTCTCACTCCTCAATCGTACTATTTAACAGATTCGACATCGTCAATTTCTCCTTCCTCTTTTACCTTTCCTCCTTTTTCTTTTTTTTCTCTCTTTCTCTATCTTTTTCGTCGTTTTATTCTTGTTCTACTTCTTGTTCTTCTTGTTCTTCTTCTTCTTCTTTTGAACGAAAGGACATCATCCCTCTCGACCTCAACTCCAACGACTTCTTAGAAAGGAGCACCATGCCACTGATTGGCAAGCTAATCACGCTCTACTCTCCATTACATTAATTAAAACTTAACTCTCGACTCTCTACTCGGCTCGGCGTCATCCACCGCAGTTTCTAACATCTCCTTCTTTTAGCTTATATTTCTTCCACTACTTTGACTACTTACTCTCTTTCATCCCCATTACACTATTCCTTTCACTTTAGATTTATGAATCACTATATTATCTTGTGTTACCTAATGTTTATTTCTTTCTTTTCTCTTTCTTTCTTTATTTTTTATTTTTATTTTTTATTTTCTCTCTCTTTTTTTTCTATACTTTCCAGTAAAAGTTTCTTTCACGATAGTTAAATATTTTCATCTCTCATCTCGTTATCCAAGCGAACGTTAAATCGTACGTACCTACCTACCTACCTACTTGTAAAAGTACCGAGAAATGTTACGATCGAACAAGTAAGAGTGGCTAGAAGAACTGTAATTACGAGAAATGTGGAATAAGTAGCTTGAAAATGAAGGGGGAAAACATATTTTGGTTAATCTACTTATAAAAAGTAAATAGCAAATGGCAAATTTTATAAGTTAACTACGATTAATCGTATATACAGAGTAATTCACCAGCTCTTGCCACTTAAATACCTCCGAAAGTACGATAGTAGCAGAAAATTGGATAAGGAAACAGTTGCATGAAAAAATCAGGACTATAATATGACATTAGTAATTTTTTGCTAGGTTGAGTCATTCTTGAGATTTATTGGTCAACTTTGTTTTTCTAAATGCAATGTTATATTTTAATATTTATTTTCTGATAGTGACTGTCAAGAAAAATCCAATAATGTGCGACAATAATGTTTCTGAAGGTTAACGAAGGTCAAAACTGGCGAACAAGTCAGCCACAATACAGCTCTTCCGCGTCATGGTCGCGTCGTGGTCGAATCAGGATTGCGTCTGGATTGCGTCATCCTTTAGTTGTTCCGAAAACGGACTGAACAGAAATTTTCCAAATAGTTTTTATTGGTCATTGTTAGGTTTTGTATTTAATGTTGCAAATCATTAGATTCGTCTTGTTAGCTGCTATCCGAAAATAATTTTAAAATATAGAATTGTATCTAAAAAAACAAAATTGACCAATAAATCTCAAAAACGACTCAACCTAGTAAAAAAACACTAATGTCATATTGTAGTCCTGAATTTTTCTTGCAACTTTTTCTTTATTCACTTTTCTGCTACTGTCATACTTTCAGAGCTGTTTAGGTAGCAAGAGCTAGTGAATCACCTTGTAGATGTTATTTCTTTCATTTATCATCGTGGGTGTGTTAGAAACAGATGATATATTTCTAGTAGAATTAAATTTTTCTAGAATTTGTCAGTATTAAAATTGTAAAATTACAGTTTAAATCGTGAAAATAATCATATACATTTTTCCCGGAAATAACTAAGGCAAGATTTTTAGGTAAAACATATAAAAAAAGTATTTTAATAGTTTAAAAAAGATAACAAGATGATATGTGAATTAACAAGAAACGCGTAATTATTAAAATATGAGATTGAAATTTGATCCGTCTTTAAAGTCTGCTGCTTTTCTTGTTATAGCCAATGCTCTCAATAATTTATTCTTATATCTTCCTTTTACTTTAAAAACTATAATACACTGTTAATCCTGCTAGTTAAATTTTAATATTCATATACCTTAATTATTCGACTATTATAAATTAATATATTATCTAGTTATGGTATGTTATTCTGCCATCTTTCATATTTCAAGCAAGAAATTAGAGTTATTTTAACGTTTAGATAGTCATTTAACGAATATATGAATTTCACGAAGGAACGTTAACACACACACACATATATGTATATATATAAATGATCAATAAAAATTTAGTATTAGCGTTTAACGAAATTCGCGAATAATCTGTTTGCGTGATTCTAACTTTATGTTATCGTGTTCCACGGAAGGGCAAAAGAGAGAAAGAGAGAAACTGTGCACGAATATAAAATGAATATAGCGCAGACTCGTTACCGGCTCCTCTCAATCTCTCTGAACGTTCGTTCGCAGAGCGCATATTTATCTAATGAAAAGTTAGCGCGGTCTAATTACTGGGAAGCAGTTACGAGCAAATTCCATTGTGCTGTCGAGCTCTTGAAGATAACGAAGGCCCGAGAGAGAGCTCGTGCGATTCGTTAATTTCGCTGTCGAGTGATTCGATTGAACGTGATTTTACTTTAATAAAAAAAAAGAAAAACAAAAAAAAATAATAAAACCGACTAGAACAAATGGAAAACAAAAAAGAACAAAAAGAAGAATAAATATGTATAACAACAAAATAATAATAAAAGAAAAATATTAGAAAAGACGAATATAAGGGATATCCTACTAATCACAATCACGAATGACAAATTAATCGTACTTATGATTTTAATTTCGTGGCAATCTCTGATATTATTCGGATCGATGCTTTAACACGTTAACTGCCGTGTCACCCGTATTCGGGTGACAGCAAAAGTTCTCATCAGGCCACGTCACCCGTATTCGGGTGACAGCAAGAGTTCTCATCAGGCCACGTCGGGTGACTCCTTCCAAAGGATTTCCGAACATATTTAGATAAATATRTGACAGGAGATAATAATACTGTTGAATTTTTTTAAAAATCGTTTATTAACAAAATTATTTACAGTGCAAAATATTGAAGCATTCACTGCAAAGTTGCGGTTGACCAGGGCAGCTTGGACAAAAAGTAGCGGGTTTTCTGAGATTTGCTCGTGCCTTTGATCGTTCCAGTTCTTCTCTTTTATTTGCGTAACACCGCTTGCATGCGCGTCTAAGGCTTTTCCCCAAATTATTTCTGCGAACGGCGATGCAATGCGTATTTCGTCGAACAGAAGGCAGTGTTAAATCTTCACTCAGTCCTAGTAACTTTGCAGCAATCAGTTCTCTGAATCGTCTAATATTTACAGTTTTCTTTGTCGCAATTTTATAAA